TGCACACTAGGCTCAGCACCCAGCATCCAGCACCCCCAGGCCTGCCTGCGACTCGAGCCCGAGCTCCGGGATGCCAATGTCGATGCGTGGCCGTGTGCGCGGCTCAACTGAGCTGCTTTCTCCGGCGGCGATAAGGCTAATAAGTCACGTTTTTTCTTTGTCGTGTACGCGTATGTGACGTGTGTTCACGGCGAGGCTCCGTCGGAAACTGGTGGGGTCCGGTCGCGTAGCAAAACGAAACCCAACCGTCACTGCCATAAACCATAACCGGAGGCTACTAACGCCAGCGGCAGTTCTGGAAATGGACAGATGACGCAACGTGTTCAGAGCAGATGCTTATGCAAGCGAGCCCCTTCCACGCCTGCCTCACAGTGGACGATGCAAAAAGCACCTGTGTAATGGCTAGCTGGTTTGATCTGAGCTGGCTTTCATTCTAGCGCGGCACGTTTGCATAAAGTGGGTTTTATCTTCTCTAATATGTGGCGCATGCAGCATGGAAATTCGGAGCTCGTCTCTTGCCGCAACGGCTCCGCCACACAAGCGGCAATCGGCCGGGCCAACAACCCAAGCGACGGTCCGACAACCCAGCGCCGCTCGGGTCAGCCACGCCACCCCGGCGCCCCGACGAAACCACCGCCCGTTTCCGCCCACTCCGCCCTTGCATTCAGTTCAAGCGCGGTGCGGTTGCACCGCGTTTGAACAGAGCCGTGCAGGAACCGCGACCGGTGCTCGGGCGTCGGCCGTCCCGTCATATCGGCCCCCTATCTAATCGGCAGCGAGCAAACAGAGCCGCGCCCGGCGGACGCCCCGGCGCCGATAGCGCCTGGCTGCGGCCGCCGCCGGAGCCGGGCCCGGCGCTGGGGGTAGCTGGCCGACGGCAGGCTGACCCACCGCACCGCCAGACCCGGGTGGCGCCTCGGGAGACTCGGGTGCGTTGAGGAGGACACAGAGGAAGTGGGCGGATCCCGAGTCGTACAGAGGGACGTTTATTCTTCGCCAAAACGAGCCGAGATACAAGTGAAAATGTTGGTCCGGGATGCAAGGAGCGAATATGTCAGTTATCGTAATCGTCATTCTCCGCTGCGTTGACTCGCCTACGTCATGGTCTGATTTGAGCATGCCCAGACCCTTTCAACCATTCATTTTCATCTCTTCCATGCCTGTCCGTGCATTATCGATAGATGTTGTCTCTGACCTCGTCTTCTTCGGCTCACATCAAAGCACACTCACACACGCTCACGTCTGGGACGGAGTGTACAATGCGAGTGCTTAAGGCATGGAGAGCGTATCTATTGCTCTTAGCGTGTGGCGTCGTTACTGTTGCTGACATCAGCGTCTCGTCGCGGTGCATAAAAAATAGACGCAATCAAGGAACGAACTGGGCCATTTCCGACCGCAACAGCTTCACCCACTGCTGTTCGCTCATGACAAGTGTCTTACAATCGGTTGATTGGTTTTGTGCTACAAATCCATAAACGCGTTCACTTGACCAGCGATTAGGGGGAGGTAGCTCCCATGGCCCGTTCCGCGTGATTTTACACATGTTGACCCAGTCCATCGTCTCATCCTGCAGTTTCTTCACCTCCTTCCGCATATTGTTGACGCCGAAGCGCTGGACGCGCTCCTCGAACCGCTGATAGAAGTGGTTGTAGAGCATGTAGTCGCCCTTCAGCCAGGTGGCCAGGCGGGTCCGTGTGTCCTGTCCGGCCGGTAGCTCGCTGGAGGCCATCAGCGAGTTCAGCCGCATGCTGACCATGTAGAGGGGCGGCCAACAGAGCAGCTCGCGCAGCAGCACCAGAGACTCGTCCATCCGGTCGGCGATCAGCAGCAGGTCAAAGTCGCGCTCGATCTCGATAATCTTTTGTCGAATGCGGCGCTCGTCCGTGAGCTCCTCGGCGCTGAGACCGAAGTCCCATAGCATCTGGTTGCGGCCGAAGAAGCCGCTCAGCCGCTGCTCGGGGATCTCTCCGGAGGCGAACGCCTCGATCGTCACGAACCGGTCCATCTCCAGGTAGCGAAACATGGACAGGAACTGGCCGACCGGATCGCGCAGGACCGAAAAGTAGACGGTGTCCTTGGGTAGTATGCGTCGCACTTCGGCGTGGTTCCAGCGCGTGTGCAGGTTCAGCATGTTGTAGCCGATGCGGTAGGAAGGCACCAGGCAGACGTCTTCCACCCTGAAGGGCTCCGTGCTGATGTACTCGCCGGACGCGGGCAGGACGAGGAAGATCTCGTGGCGGGCGGCGAAGCGGAAGAGGATGTTCTGTATGCTTGAGGAGCCACACCGGTGAGTTTTCAGGAAGCCCATGTTGTACTTTGGCCGACAGCGATGACCGTTTACTTCATATTGCTCCGGCAGTCCCACCGGCGGCGAGGGTTTTCCCAAAATTGGACACTCAACTTTGGAAGGTGCCCTCTTCCGAGGGGTTTCTCTGGCGGAATAGGTGCAACAAGATCAGCAGTAAGTCAACGTGATCACAGTTGATAGCTGTTTGATATACATTCACGTTAATTATGATTATATCGGTCACCAGTATTAAATGTGATGCGAGGGATCTCTGAATTTTACATGGTGACTGACGGCTGACGTAGAGAACTGAAAACGCTCTTAGCCTTGGAGCGCTGCAGACTACCATACGGTTGAGCCATGACTCCAAGTGGTAATGTGGAAGCATGTAATCTTACCTTGTGCTCCGAGTGGTATTGTGAAAGCATGTAATCATAAGCATGAAGGCCACCACACCAATGCCGATGAAGAATGGATGCCCGAGCCATAATGCTCGTCCCATCTTTAAAGAATGACGCAATAAACTCGACCTTAGTTTAGTGAGGTAATATTGCTAAACAAATGACATGGTTGCATTGAGTGCTCATAGAATCCTTGCTGAGCAGCATTTTGTGTTGTTGAAAGAGACAGTTATGATTATTTACTTAAAGTAATGCTCAGTTAAACACTTCGATTCAAGGAATCGTTAAGTGTTCGTCTTCGGCTCGCCATTAAAATCATGCTTGCTTTGCCAATTGATGATTTAATGTGCGCTCAAATGTTTGAATTTTTTTCGAAAAAGTTCTGCTGACTGAACGCGTCCACGTCTGCGCAGAAGTCAAACTGCAATCAAAGATAGCCCCAACCCCATCCCTACTGCTTTCAAGTGCAAACTACTGAAGAGCATTCCGGGATATATTTCTCTGTTGTCGGCGGTGACATGAACGAAAGGTGTTTTAACGTGAACAGGCTCCTTGTGCGCCGCCAGTAAAAAATAATCCTTTTGGGTGAGTGGTAGCCATGCTCGCCGGGTCGTGGCAACGTATTTTAAAATACCACAAATTGTCGCAGGCTGCAGCCAAGTGTCACAATGTGTGAGAACTACTTATAAACCCTTGTCGTTACTAGGCATGAAGATACTTCCTACATCATAGGGTGCCGCCATCAATGCACCGTCACCTGTCGATTCCACAGCTAAGGTGTTGAAGCCTCCCCCCTTTCCTCATTCCAAAACAAAATGGCGGTAACTCTGCGGATGGTTTGATTTTCTCCTTGTTATTTGGTAGCATCTCTTCGGTTGAACTGTTAGATGGGGCTAAGTGAGGGAAATCACGTTTTTCCCCGTCCCCACGTAAGTTAACATATGTTTGAAAGGACGGCCAATACTAGCGCTAGTGTGCCGTTGGTGCACCTCAGTGGGGCGGTGCCAAATTACCTGACATCGTTCAAACTTCAAAGACCTTTCATAATCGGTGAGATGTCTACAAACAACTTTTAGGAGGGTTTTTAAAACCAAAACTGACGATGAACTTTGTTTAGCTGTAGAGAATGGAATAGTGAATTGTTTTGTATTAAAAATTATCCACATCTTGTAAGGTCGCTGACCTATAGCACGTCAGAGTCAAGCCATGACTGTCAGCAAAGGGCATTTCTAAAGAATCGTTCAAAATGGTGCAACAACGGAGTGTTAGACAAAGTCATACATATCCGAGATGGCTTCTTAGGCGATAAACCAATAAAGCTTAGAATCACTGCAAATTTTATTGACGTAGTGGGAGGTCGCATAGTCAGACGGAGGAAAACAATAACAAGCTCTTTTACTCGAGAGCTTGGTTTCATGGGGTATTTTGTGGTCCTCATTTCGAATTTATTAATGACAGGAACCACAGAAGGCATGTTTCATGAGCGTTTCAAAGTTTAGAGGTCACTGACCTAAAGTGACCCTGGTCAGTATTTTTGTTTTTAGAAAGATATCAACTAGCGTAATCCCTCATGATTATTCGAATGACAAATCAGGAGCAATCTAGCACTTATTTGGTCACTTTGACCTCATAAATGTTAACACGCGCTCGGGTAGGAGGATCAAATTGCCCCCCCCCCCCGAAGGTTTTTCAGAATTGTTTCCGAACGGCACTGCGCAGCTTCGCCAAATTTTGCATACTGTAGAAAATTGAATGGCGGTTCGTTTGGAATCACAAATGTAGATGTGTCTTGTTAGGTCGTTGACCTATGGCAGGTCAAAGTCAGGCTATGGTTTCAGCGAAGTTAGTTTCTAGGGAATCGTTCAATTTGATGCAACAGCGGAGTGTTAGACGAAGCCATACATCTCTGAGATGCTTTCTTGTGCAATACATATATTGAATGAGCAAATTACGTTGACCTAAGGTCAGGTAAAAAGGTCAGACCATGATCAAAACCAACCTGTTTTTTCTCTAGGGCTTGCAGTATGTGATAGCTTCTGATGCTCATTTCGAATTTACTGACAGCAGGAACCGCATTATACATCTTCCATGGTCTTCTTAGAGGTCAGAATAGGTCATTGACCTGAAATGACCCAGGATAGCATGTTATTTTTAGAAACACACTACCCAGCCTAATCTTTGTCACTTATTCAAATGCAAAACTCAGAGTAGTTTTGTATGGTGTTGGTCACCATGACCTTAAAAAGGCCGAACAAGGTCACTGACCTTACTTGAGCATGCGGACTTTTGCTTAGAAACAGTTATCTAGGCTCTGGGGCACTTTGGAGACCAACCTGAAAGTTGATCTTATTTGACCTTATTTGACTCGGAGGTCATGATCTAGAAACCTCACACTTTGACCTAAGTGAGTGCACGTACAGGTCACCACACCCTGTGCATTTGGTGTCTTTAGCTCTCTTAGTTCCCGAGATCTCGGTGGGGTCAAACTGACCTCCCCACCTGAGCGAAGGGTATCTTGCCGGCACCCGGGCGCATGTTAAAACAAGGTCGCCGATCTCATTGAGCTTTTGCTCGTAACAGGTATTAAGCCTTACAGCAGATACATGAGAAATCTGGGGTACTTCAAACACCAATCTGGAGTTTGACCTTGTTTGAACTTGCTTTCTTCCAAAATCATAACCTATGGCATGCAATTTTGACACGAGTGAATTCACGCACAGGCCAATTTACCCTGTAAATGTTATGTGTCTAGCTATCATAGCTTTTTAATCTCAGGGGGGTCAATTTGACCAGCACCCCAGAGAAGGGTATTCAACCTTCACCCGTGCGTGTGTTAACACACCATCCTACACGTTTCGATCATATCATAGAGCATTTGGAACATTCTAAAGACGTCATGTTTCGGACAACCGTACCCTGCCATTAATTGCCGGGGGAAGCTGTCATGCTCAGCCATCAATCAGAACGACATGGAGCAAATGTGGCTCACTAAATGACATGAGTAGAGCACAAAGTCTTGTTCACTTACTGACTCCCAAGCTTCACGTAGGAATATTTTCCGACCAGAGCAGGCGTGTGAGAATTCCTAACATGAGGGTTAGACCCTTCTTGAAGCGTGCTCTCGTCCCGAATAATCACCAGGTAATGCTATGCTTTTGCAAACAGAGTTGTACGAGAATCATTCCTATTCTTGTCCGGAGATTTTCCGGAGAAAGTCATAGTTCTAAGTGGTATCCTATGAGCACTTGGAAATATAATTTTCTATACGGTCAGAGTCAGACGAGCTACAGAGAGAGGCAATGCTAAACAAGCTAAAGATGGTATGCATTGCAGTATCTAGTCAAAAGTTGACAGGCACAAGTCCATTCAGATCATTTAAAAGATTGTCTGGAAACAGTGAAGCATTGCACACACACAACATTGCGCAATGGTGATGCCAGAAACATATGTGAGGGTGCTGTGAACCCGATTGCATAGCAAGTCAATATCAAATGGAGCACCAAAAACATCACAAAGTTGACGTCAAAGCGCATACGCTCCAGGTCATATTACAGACCTTAACGATGTACGCGTGTCTAATGATGCACGCGTGTACATGCTTTTCTGAGACACATCCAGGCTCTGACCATGGGGACCACCCACCAAAAGATGAGAAAATGAATCTGACCTTGGCACTCAGAATGGTCGTGACTGTGCACTGAAAAGTAAGTAAGGCTGAAACAAACAAAAAATATATTGCTTAGCAAACGCCTGAAGTCCCCCTAATGCAGTTTCGTAAGGGACTTCTAAACATTCTCCCTAAAAAGAGTCCTGGATCTGCCTAAAGTGGGCCCCTTAGGCCGTGGAATGAGAAAATCAGAACATCCATCAAGTTTCCCAAATGTGTTTCATTTAGCACGCAAATGCGGTCCCAAAAATAAACTTTTATAAATCAACCGCCAGAGAAGAATAGGATTAATGGAGTTATTCTTGTCCACCCCATCATATTAAACTCTGACACTCTGCTTGATAGCTTCGATGCCTTGTTCGAACCCGACGCCAATCCGAGCTACCGCCCTGAGGCGGGCGGCGACGGCCCGGCTGGGCCGGGTGCTCCACAGCTGCACCGCCTGTTCGGGTGTGGGATGGGGAGGGCCCATCACTGGGCATCTTCCCGCCATCAGGGGTCTTGGCGAGAGCGATCCAGCACCGGATCCCGGGATCTTTGATGGGGACCAGATGGGGTGACGTCACCATGGCCGGGGCTGATTAGCCACAGCTAACGCTTCATGGCTGGTCATGGCCAGGGCTGGTGGGCATGCTTGAAAACAAAGTCAAGTGTCTTCCACCATCCTGGGAGCGGCATGGGCCTAGTAAGGCCCTCCACGCATGGATGGTACTTGGGCCTTGCGAAGCCTTCACTGGCCTTCGGGGTGGGCAATCTTTGACAGACGGACTTCTTGTCTACCCCCTTGAGACGCTGGGCTGTGTTGGCCCTCTCTGGTTCTATGTCTGACGTGCGCTCTTGGCCTCGGGGCACTTTTGTCTACCCGGCTCGCCGGGGTCACCTTCTATCCATCCGCCACCATCCGCCGGTAATGCCACGGCAGCTGGTGCGGGGCCTGATGCGCTCAGAGGCTGCCAGACTGGTGACGGGGCGGGGCTTGATGCGCTCAGAGGCTGCCAGGTGGACTGGTGACGGGGTGGGGCCTGGTGCGCTCAGAGGCTGCCAGGCGAACTGGTGACGGGGCCGGGCCTGATGCACTCAGAGGCTGCCAGGCGAACTGGTGACGGGGTGGGGCCTGATGCACTCAGAGGCTGCCAGGCGAACTGGTGACGGGGTGGGGCCTGATGCACTCAGAGGCTGCCAGGCGAACTGGTGACGGGGCGGGGCCTGATGCACTCAGAGGCTGCCAGGTGGACTGGTGACGGGGTGGGGCCTGGTGCGCTCGGAGGCTGCCAGGCAAACTGGTGACGGGGCCGGGCCTGATGCACTCAGAGGCTGCCAGGCGAACTGGTGACGGGGCGGGCCAAATGCACTCAGAGGCTGCCAGGCGAACTGGTGACGGGGTGGGGCCTGGTGCGCTCAGAGGCTGCCAGGTGGACTGGTGACGGGGCCGGGTCGTAAGGAACTCCCGTTTTTGGTGACTGACTTCAGGCGGCTTTTGGGCTCAGCGAACAAAAACATTTTGTGACAGGTTTATTTGACAGAGATTCCCTTCTCTCGAATGAAGGCAGTGTGCTGCATCTGTCCTGAGGCTAACAGCCATAGTTGAGGCATCTGGGCTTGTCTGGGACCGGTTTAGCGCTGCCTGGGGGGGGGGGGGGCGGCATATTGTTCTAATATAAATACATCTCCACAGACCTCTAAGGGCAGTTTTCTTTGGTCTTGTATGCCGTAAGTCCCATACAAAGGTGACGCATTCACGTTAAACTGATGTTAAA